ACTTCTCGAATGGGCCCAATTTATTGAGAAGAAAGTTAGATAAAATGCTATTTAGTTGTTAATAGAGCAGGATTGGCCAACTTGGGCGAATCAAAAGGTGTCATGTTATTACTGCAGATGAATCCTTTGAATTTTGTGTCTTTGGATAAAAGTTTTCTAGGAATGAAAATGTGGCATCCAAATCATTATTAATATCCCTGCACTCCACCCCAAATGAGTGTCTTAACATATCACTTAACAGGACTCTATGTACAATGGGTGAGAAACAGCATTTTATTTTTCCATTTATATTTTCTTGAAATAAGGGTGATAAAAAAGATTGATAATGATGTGTTCTGGGAATTCAACTCACAGATTTTTCTCACAATATATTATTAGCCAATATCCCCTTTCCTTTTGTATGGAGCTTTAAAGTTTAACGCAATGCATCTGTGAAAATTGTTGCCTTTTGCAATACTTTTTAGGAGCTAATCACAACCAAATTTTTTTTATAAAAATTGGCTACTTCTTTATCTTTTTCCTGTTCATATAAACTTTCTCCTTTGATGCATTTAAGCTGAATTTTTTAAACTACTGCACTTCTGATACCACAGAAATTTTTGCAGATGGTGTTATAGCAGGAGGCACAGCAGGCGTTGTTGTTGAGACTGCGCTGTACCCTATTGATACTATAAAGACTCGGTTGCAGGCAGGTGAACTATTTGAAGCACTTAAGCGGATCCAAATTAAGATGGAAAACTAATGATCATAGTTTCTCATAGTGTCATAAGCAGATGCCTTGCACTCTTAGCTTAGATGTACATTATGTTTTCTGACTTGCAGTTCTTGCTGCAGTACTAATCTAAGATTTAGATGTTTGTGAAGAGATTTGATGACAGTTATTTTCTTTGGAAGGAACAAATTGAAAATTGTGATATCTTAGCTTAAGAATTTGTTTGGTTGGGGGTGAAGGAGTAATATATGGTAAAATGCATTTATATTTGACCGCTTCTAAAACATTGATTAGACTGCTTAGCTGATGAAAATTAACTAGGGAAACATCTTGTTTCTTGGTCTATTGTGATATATGCTGCAAACTTTTGGGCTGATTTGTTCATTGTGCTAATGAGAGATGTTTGGTTTCTTTTTCTCTCCCTCTTTTTTCTGTATTATCCAATCTGTAGTAGCAGATGAAAGTTCCTCAGTTATAAATTTTGTGTGTTACATATTGAAACAGGTAAAAGTCCATGTGAATGTGTAACAGAAACAGAAAATACTTGTTGGTTAATACTTTATGTTGCGTAGGCCCTATTGTGAGGAAAAAAGAAAGTGAGATTTTCGAATATGATTTCTTCCATTAGGATTCAAATTCTTGGGACAAAGTTGCTCCCTATGTTTACTGTCAATATCATGTTATGATTCCTGTTAATAATGATACGTGTAGGCTGCTCAAGGAGGAGGAAAAATAAATCTTAGAGGCCTGTATTCTGGATTGACTGGTAACCTTGCTGGAGTCCTGCCGTAAGTTCTTATAAAATTCCATGACTTGATAATTTTGTATTATGTGGTATTGCACTTGCTAATCAAATAGCTAATAACATTTTGTATGTTGAACGGATGAAATCTTGGCCAGTGGCCCCATCCTTAATTTTTACGGATGAACTTTTGCTTTTGCAATTTTTTGTTTGTTCAGATTTGATTTTAACAATTAATGGATCTATGGATGCCACCACTACTTTACACACTTGTTGTATCTACAGGGCATCTGCTGTTTTTGTTGGTGTATATGAACCCACAAAGCAAAAATTGCTGAAGCTTTTCCCTGAAAAGTTCAGTGCAGTTGCTCATCTGGTAAGGCTTATATCTTGTGGCACTTTTTATTGATCTCGAAACAGCTCTGGTCATTAATATAACTTCTTTAAATTCAGATGTTTAACCTACAAAGAAAGGACTTGAATTGATAAATTTCATGTAAAATATAGGCTGTAAAGGGTGTTATAACAAATTTCGATTCCTGAGAAGATTTAGTAAGTGTTATTTCAAATGGTGCCATAATACCTGATAAATGTGCCAGATAACTTCAGTCGGATATTTTGTAATTTTAGCAATTCTGATCTGTAGGTGCACCACTGTACTTCAGAACAAAGGCCTTATCTTTTTACATAGATTTCTTCTGGTAGCCTAATTAAGCTCATTATGTTCTTCTGCAATCTTTTTATCCTAGTTCATAGTAGAAAGATTCTTACTTTTGGTTCAAGGCGTTTCTACTACATGTCTGGAGAACCCAAAAGTTGGAGTGTCCCTTGGCCCAAACTTTGTTTGTCGCTTTATCACTTGACCTATGAAACTTTTTGAGTTCATTTTGTTTGGCATGGTGGTTGTGGCATTGGACCTAATTGGCATCTACAAATGTCAGAATGACTTATACCTTTGACCTACATTACTCAACAACAATATTCCCATTAACTTGTTTTTTCTTTTGAAATTCCTGATAACTGTTGATTGAGACCAAAACTTGCTTTGTGAAATGAAGTGGATTGTGTCACCTGAATTTTGGATATTAGCTGAGTCCCTATAAGTTTGATAACTGTTTGGATGATATTTTATGCTCGAGGTGATTGTGTTGTAGCCTTTTCCCCGGTTTGTTTATGAGGTGCTAAATGTGTAGACAGCTGGGGCCATTGGAGGTATTGCAGCTTCTCTTATTCGTGTTCCAACAGAGGTACATGAGTTTATATTCGTTTTCTTGCTGTTTGTGCATAGCCTTAAAATTTCATTTTCATTTTGCGTTGGTAAATTTTCTTTGTATCTTGAAAGTGTAGGTTGTCAAGCAACGGATGCAGACTAGACAATTTGCTTCTCCACCTGATGCTGTTCGTTTAATCATTTCCAAGGAAGGTTTTAGAGGTCTTTATGCGGTAATATACCTGCTCTATCCAATACTTCAGAGGAAAATCAATTTTCCTTACAACCATATAGTGTTGAGATGTTCATTCCATCCCTTTTCCAATGATTAATGATGTTTTTATATATCTAGAGGATTGCTAAGCTGTGATTAGGTACTCTATGCAGATATACGTTGTGTATAATTCTCAGAAGCTTTAATCTTTGACAATAGTAGTGTTTTAGGACGGGTTTTTCTTCTTACTCTTCTGCATGGGTTTTTAACTTTTATATCCTGAACTTGTAGGGATATAAATCATTTTTACTGAGAGATTTGCCATTTGATGCAATCCAGTTCTGCATCTATGAACAGCTTCGAATAGGCTACAAGATGGCAGTAAGTTACTTTATACAGAAAGAGACTTGATGAATTGTTTTGCTTATCGGATGAGGATGAATTCACCTCTATAGTGCTTCCCGCACAAAAATATATTAGCTGATTTTTCCTGCTTGTTCTTGTTTATCTCTTAATCTAATGTGCAATTGATAAACTATGTCATGCTATGTTGTTAAGCTGTTTCTCTTTTTCCATGTTTAATCATATATAGTGCACCTTATGAGTTTGCTTTGTGGTTTAACTAAATGATAACTAAACAAATTTCTTGATACCAAGACGCTCATAATTTGGTCTGAGTTGTGTTTTTAAACAATACTGCTTCTGTAAACACCTTTTCTGTGGTGTGCTTTTGACCAGGCAAAGAGGGATTTGAATGATCCTGAGAATGCTGCAATTGGTGCTTTTGCTGGTAATTTCATTTCCTAATAGCCTGCTTCTGGATCTCTTGTATTTAGATGCGTCTTGGTGTGCACTTTGCAGAATACGAACTCAATTTGTTACCCAAGAAATAGTTTTTCTCCTGCTGGAGAATTTGAAATTAGTAGAAGATTGTACCGGTATAGTCATTTTTGTGATTAATGCACAAAATGTAAAGACTGTTCTTGGATTTCTGGTTGCCTAGAATTATTTGCTTAGTGCTCGACATTACATTCTGCAATGAAGATTACCACCTAATTATGTACACTAATATATATATATATATATATATATATATATGTAGGCGCCCTAACTGGAGCTATAACTACACCATTGGACGTGATCAAGACAAGGTTAATGGTCCAGGTTCGTTTATAAGTGTATGTTTTGTTATTTTCTCTCTTGCTCAACCGTTCTCTTCTTCATGAACATCGAGGGAATGTTCAGTCGGGTTACCTGCATAATGAATTTGTTCCGTTTGCTGGTATGATATGTTAATCTGCATGCTCTACAGGGATCAACGAACCAGTATCGAGGCGTATTTGATTGCGTGCAGGCTATAGTAAGGGAAGAAGGGCCTCCTGCTCTTTTAAAGGTACGAGTGTTTGTGCCAGTGGATAGAAGTGTAGTTCTTGTTGTTAAATGGGAAGCCTGGCATATGAAATATGGTAATTAATTGTTGCTCTTAACTTTAAATCCTTGCAGGGCTTCGGGCCAAGAGTGTTGTGGATAGGCATTGGTGGTTCAATATTCTTTGGTGTTCTTGAGAGCGCGAAGCGTTTTCTATCCCAGAGGCATAACACTAGTGATAAATCTCTGGACAAAAAGCAGGAGTGAAAGGTTAATTTTTGTTGCAATGCGTTAGGGTCCCCTGCTTGTTTTTGGATCGAAAGTTCATAAACAGAGAAATATAACCGAAGTTCTTAACAAGAAATTTTATTTGAACTTTACGCCAATCGATTTTGTCCTAATTCTCTTGCTGTTCTTTTTAATTTTTTGAATGTGGTAATTCTTTGTTCATATTGAATCTAAGAAACAAATAATTTCTTTATCTCATTTAAAGGAAAAATCCTTTTATGGCAGCAAAATTCATGTGAAACTAACATGAACTGTTGTGGTGGAATGCGTTGCTGTATCCAGATTTCCATAGCGCAGAACCTGGTACCATTATAGTCCAGGTTAGACGTTAATTACCTCATCAAACTACTCTCAAAATCCATATTGCTATTCTTCTAACTGATAATGGAGCAAATTGTACACTTCAATCTCAATTTGTTTCAATCAAACAAAAATATGGCCTCTTAACTGATAATTATGCCTCGAGTACCTCAAGAAAAACCAGCCAATTCAGATAAATTTCACTTCAAATATCTATGTACATATTGTACAGTTCTCATCATGTACATTTCTTACAGGCCAAAATTTCACTCGTACACTCAAATCAGCTCGCCCCAGTATGAAAAAGTTGGGGGAAAAGTTTTTTTTTTTTTTTTAAATGATGCCGAAACTGCATTATATTCACAAGATTTCTGTAAAAAAAACAACCTGCCTAGTCTTCATCAAGGATTGATGCTGCTTCTACTTGGCTATCTTGGAGAAAACTCCAAACTCATTGTTAGTACATGATGTTGATTTCTTGGCATGCTTTGCTTGGTGCTGTTCACAGAGAATTGCAGGAGATCTGTCGTGATGATATCATAATGCAGCACCGCTAAAATCGTGTTCAAGATCTCAAGGATCCAATTTCAAGTGATTCATGCCCAAATTTTCACATCAAAGGGAGATAAGCTCCTCCATGCCCTTTCCTCAAGACAAGTGGCCCAGCATTTTCAGGAACCTTATCCAACGCATTGTTACATGAATCAATAACATCAATAAACCCGGTGGCTGTCGTAGCCAACTGCAGCCGCAACCTCAAGTCCCTAGTCCTTTTCAGCAAACATCTGAATGACCTACCAAGGTACTTCGCCCACTCAGCTGGCAGCCCTCCGCCTGTCAGCCACACGGAAAACTGGGATTGGTCCCACCTGGCAGCAACCTCAGCCCTATAAAATCTTGCAAGCTCAACAAGCATTGAGGGCTGGAGAGGGAGTACAGCAACAAACTCGGCCATAAACTGTTCAGTGAGTTCTGGTTTGAGCATTTGGTTCCAAAGCACCAGGGCCCACTCGCTTGGCTGGTTAAGACCATAGGCTTCAGCAACGACTAGTGCCTCTTGGAAACGAGATTGCTCAACTAGTGCTCTTCGTGCATTAGTTTCAGAAAGATTGAGCCATTGCAAATCTGGCATTCGAATCTGAAGAGAGAGGAGTGATGCCTGAGCGCAAGCTTTGCGTGTTTTATTGCCAGCATCAATGGAGGAGTGAACTTCAGCAGCTTCAATAAAATACCGCATAGATTCCAGTAGATCATCAGTCTGATCTTTGTCATAACGGAGGAACCATTGATGAGAAGATTGCTCTGCACGTGACTCCAGGAGAGCAGCAGTTTCGTGCTTCATGTCAAAGTGATTATAAACCTGAAAGAAAGCCGGGAACAGGATATCAAGCTTTTCAGATGTACCAATTGCAAGAAATGGAGAATCAGATGTTTTCAATTGGTGAAGAAATGAAATGGATAGGGAGAGAAGCTGAACCAACAATTGCAATGAAACAACAGAAACTGCAATTTACTTTATGCTAATAATTAGCTTATCTTTAAGAAGATTATAAATAATTACCATGGCAAATGCATCTAGATCATGGGGGTTGAATTGCTGGAGTGACGTAAGAACAGCCATACGAAATCCTCTAACTGCTTCAGCGGTGCCTGTATTTGCATCTGCAGCAGCAGAATACTTTTGAAGAAGAAGATCAAGTTGACCATTTTCAATAAGGATTCCGAGTATGAAATTCAGCGCATGGAAATTTCCGACTCCAGTTATTAAACGAGCCAAGCACGTGAAATCACCCTCAGATACATAAGCTTCTACCCTGGTTGCTGCAAGAGCTACAAGAACATCAACACCATCCAGGCATGCTGATGACTTGTAGAAGTGGTGGGACAGTATCAGAAGCTCAACCTGAAAAATCAGTTCCAAATAATTAAATGTTGACCCCCCTCTGGCATAGGAACCCTTTTTAAAATTTTTTTCTTCATCAATCTCAAAGTAAGGTACACTTAATACCTTCAAGGTCACTTACAAGAAACAAGTCAAAGAATTCAAGCTTTTAGAACTATGAACTTTTGATTATTTGTCAAACTACAAGTGCTGTACTTTGTGGTGAAGACTTATCTTTAAGTCCATTTCTTTCCTGTTTAAATATGAACTTCACAATTTACTGACAATCTGACAGAATCTTTGAAGCATGTTGACACTCAGTAATTTCTCAGCAAATTACCTACTCCTGTGCTGCACTTCAGCAAAGTCTATGTAGTGCTAGTTCTTCATGTGTTAAATATTAGACATACTGTCTACAGGCCCAGCAATAAGAACAGTAACAGGATTTATGGTAACAGAAACATATTGACAAAGGTGTCAATAACAATCTAAATAGAATTCAAAGCTTAGCAAAAGGAGGAACATGGAAAAGGTACTCTCTTTTACTACATTTATCTATCTTGCAAATACAGCTGAAAGAACATTTGAGGAATGAGGTGATTATTATTCAACAAACAACACTAACAACCCCTTGGCCAGGCATCCCCGCCCCCGTGGGCAAAAAAAAAAATCTTTTTTTTTTCCAGTTGTGTAGGAGAAAAGCAGGATTCTAACATGCTTCTTATAAGGGAAGAATTGATGTGAAATATATGACGTTCAGTTTCTCCTCTTTTTCACACCCAAAATAGACAAATAACTTGGTCAAATACTACTGACTTCCATAAAATGAGGAAGGGTGAAAGTAGAGAATGAAAAGAGGCTCAAGCCAAGCATGGAAAAAACACCATTTAAATCACCTGAAACTTGACTGAGAGGACACCGCACAAATAATTCAATAAAGAGACAGTGCCAACAAGTTGTTCAATAAGGATGTAGATCTTCCATTCACCAAAACTTAAAAAAAGAGGTTAACGCGCTAATTGCGATGATTTTATTCAGATGATCACACCTTGTTAATTCAATCCATAACCCATGAAACAAATATTACATCCTTATATCTAGTCGCAAAATTGATGATTGTATCTTGGCAGCTTAGACCATAGGCCATCAAGTTTCACAAAGCAAAGCTCCAACATGTCAAAGTTTAGTTGCAACAGTCCTCCAACTTCAAATGAATTTATGCGCTCAATAGTATTCCTATCAATACTAAACTAACTGAACATTTCAGAATGAGAAAATAAGGAAACAAATAAGGACGCGAAAAAGAATTTGACTAATTAAAAGGTAATTTAGAAGGGGAAAACATCAACATCCAAAGATAACACAGTATTTCATTTTTAGACTGGAGGTAGTTATTGCATATCAGATTATCATCCAAAATTAAGCTCACAAATCTAAAGGGAACTTTTATATTGTTTATGCAGAAGAAGCTAAAAATAACAACAATTCGCATGCCAAAAAAAAAAAAAGAGGAAACCATTAAAAGACCAGAGCTGAGGATGAATAAAGTTTCCGTGTCACTATACTTGGCTAAAAACTTCCACCTATGACCCAGACTCCAACTATTCTATTGAACGTAAAGTAAAACATTAGCAAGACACCATCCATCTTGTTAGTCATTATACACACTTTGAAAACCAAAATTTTAGTGGACTAGGACTAGGAACTATTCTATTGAATGCAAAGTAAAACATTACCAAGACACCATCCATCTTGTTAGTCATTATACACACTTTGAAAACCAAAATTTTAGTGAACTAGGACTAGGAATGTTCCTTATTGCCCCACATCAGATTTTGCCAATTATTACACATTCAATTTGCAACCAGCACAATCCCTAATCTTTCAGTTTTAAGCAATTTAATTAGATACAAGGGATACTGAGGTAAAAGAAGAAAAGACAAACAGTTGCCATACTACCTCACAGGCATGTGGTATTTCTTGCCCAGTGATCACCAAACGCATCAACGCATGGCCAATTTCTGGTTCTGAGGGACAAAGCTCGGCCCACTTCAAGAAGTCTGAAAATCTCCACAACAAAGGAGCAGGTCCTTCCTCCTTCTGGGAATCCATGTATCCACCACGATGTGCAGCTAATAAGCCCTAATTCAACAACAAACATAAATAGACTTTTCAATAAAAGTGCCAGACATCATAAACTTCCACCAAAAACAAAAATAACTTGACAAAGGATCAGTAAATAATTATAAAATTAAAATTCAACTTCCAAAATCCCTGTTCAGACTTATTTCAACCAAAACAAGACAAAGCTTACATAGCCCTTAGCAGATGCCAAAGATCTATTCTAGGATGTTAATTGAACATCTACACACTAAGAAGGACAAACCATAAAAAACACACAGACCTTTAAAAAGGATTCTGCAAGAACATGAGCAATACTAGAAGCTGGCATAGAATGCGTTTGCACAAGGAGATTTGCTTCTTCAAATGAATCTTGTGCTTTGAGAGTAAGAAGCTGCAATAGTTCAATTGGCTGCTTATCAAATGCTTCTGAAAATGACAGACCTAAAACATTTGCAGCCTTTACAACAGCCACAATTCTCTTACAAACTCCTCGCCCACGGCCTTCAGCGAGTATGGCTGCTAGACCATCCAATACCTACCTCAGATAATTTTTATTAGCATTAAAAAATTGTCCTATGCAAACAACTTAAATTGAAGTAACTAGCATTTAAGTATTGTCTAAAGCCATTGAATAACATAAATTGAAAAGTGGAAAACAAAATTATGCAGTACCTGAAGTGGCTCAATCACTTGATGATTAGCCACGAAATTGTTAGACTGTATCACAGAGCGCACTTCATCATCCAATAGCAAGACAGACATTTTGTTGTTTGGAGTTGAGAGAGCAGCCAGCTTCAAAGCAGCATCCAAGACAACAAATTCATATGGAATTTGACCTGGAGACAACTTATGTTGCAGCTGTCGGGCAGCTGCAATTTGTCCAAACTCCAACAATGAAAGAACGGCTCTTTCCAGCTCTGCAGGTCCAACTCCTTCCTCCCACCTTGAAAGGGATGCTTCAAATTTAAAGTTGTCATCCACTAATTGTGAATCATCTCTGTGACTCTGGGAGAAGAAGACACTTTCAAACTCATTGCTTTTATCCACTGCATCATTTAAAGGCCGTCTTGATTGCACAAAGCCCTTGGCTCTCCTTTTTGCCTTGCTGTTCCCTCCGGTGGAAGCCATAAAGTCGTCTACTAATGCTTGATGGGTCTTTAATTGTGTCTGATTATTCTCCCTGAAGTCACTTCTGTCTACACTTTTCATTTTCATTGAATTCAAATGATTGTCAATCTTTGTGATGATGTCTGCAGTATGATCCATAATGCTGGAGCTCTTCCCAATCCCAAGTTCCCTACCACAATTGCTCTGGGGGAAATCCCCCTCACTTTTCACCTGAGCTTCTGACTCTACAGCTAGAAGCCACACTTTAGTCTCAATCTCTCGCAGAAGGTTTAGAGGACATGCCCTGTAAAATTAGTCAGTCAGAATATAATTTTATGCAAGGTATGTAGCATAAGTTGTTCCTTACAGACACTTACTGATTAGACCGAGTTATTGTTCCACTCAACCATTGCAAAGAAAGCAGCAATAGTCCATGAAGCTCTCTTGCTGGGAGATCTTTCTCTGCTGCCTCTGCATGTTTGAGGAAAAATAACCCTGCCTACAGAGCAACAGTAGAAAATCAAATTGACTGAAGACGAAAAAATTTGTGTAAAACAGCAGGTGCTTTGTTTCTACTCATTCAAGAGAAGAAATAAAGACAGGGCAAAAGCGAAGATGCAATGACTTCAAAATAGTGGAAAGGACGATGCTAACTTACGCATCTAGTACGTGTAAATAAATAAATAAACAAACCTGTGATGCTGGGAAGGAGTATCTGATAAAAAGTGTTTGACAGTGGCCCCACAAAGCAACCCTCTCTTCTGGGACATCCCAAAGGAACTCCTTCCATTCTGCCACCATGGATTCAGCCTAGATCCATGTGCACAAGAAAATATGCAGAGTTCACATCAAAATTGACGCATGATCTAACTCTATACTAGAAAGAAAATGCAGTTTCACAAAGAATGGGAACCCTTCAATTAAGTCATGAAGAGAGCTGAAAGTATCAAGTTTTGTGCTGGCATGCAAAATAACAGGCAACATAATGGATCCCTAGTAAAATAGAGCAGAATTTGTTAGGGCACCTAAATGAGCTATATGGTACTTTAGAACATGAATTGTTGAAACAGCCAAGTTCAAGATATAAGGTTATAATAATTAATAATGGCAGACCATAACACACGAGGTGACTCAGGTCCTGAATTAATTCAACATTGGATAGTGGTTTTTATGAATAACTTACAACTTATGGACAGAACATCGGTTCTTGGAAATAGACTCATCGAATTTACCAACTCCAACAAGCTAAAAACATTCTGAGTCAGGTGTTTTCATGCCTTCTCCTAGAAATGCCCTGTTTCTGACCACTCTCTACCTAACAGATCTCCTTTTTAGCTAAAAAACAGTACACATGCAGTTCCTTGACATAAACAAGATAATCCAACAAAAGTAAAATCAACTTTAGTCTACCACAGGCTATCCAATAAGTTTAGAGTCAAGGATAGACCTAAAAGGAATGGAGGGCTCTTAAATGGTGGAATTGGGACAATCACTTTTAGGAGAGTCATTACAGAACATGCATTAGTGTCATGTAGAGCCCACAAGTTTCATTTGTAAGAGCAACATAACTTACTATTTCCTGAAGAATACCCGAGAGAAATAAAAGCTAAAATGCCAACTTTTGACAAATCAATGGGAAAAGCTTCACAATATATGCCGTGAAAGCCAATTCACCAGTTTTTGGCAGTTTTAAGTGAATAGTACATGATACTCCCATGACCAAAAAAAAACAGAAAAGCAAACCTCAGCTGCAAGCAGGTAGAAGACCTTGTTCAAAAAGTATAGGCAAAAAACAAAATCATAGATGATATTAATGTGGAATAAAAGCTTTGTGAAGCAAATAAATACCTGCATTTCAGTAACATGGTGTATAACAGACTTCCAAGATCCACCACTAGCCTCCAGTTGCTTGGCCCAATTGCGTGCCTGCTCCCAACAACCATTCTTTATTAATGCTGCTAGCAGGGAAGCATCATCTAGCGTCTCATTTCCAAGATGGAGGCCATCATCTTTACGTAGTGAAGGTTCTGCAAGGTTTATTTTCCAATAAAGTCGCCGATAATATGTTGCAGCAGATCCATCATCACCAAAGTCAGTCGCAGCGAGAAGTTGTAATAAGCATCTTTTCTCATAAGGTGAAGGGCACATCGAAAGCATCGCATCAGCTGCTTTCACAGCTATGGAACTTATCCACGAGCTCCCTGTTGGTCCTTCCCTTGCAAAATTTGTTTGTGTCTGAGAAGGTTCTTCCTTAATTCTGGCAGAAAAGGACCCTAGATGTGCTGAAGCTTCTGAAAGGCGCATTTGAGAAAATGCCTGCAAGTTATAGCATACACAAATAATAGAAAAAAAAAACAGAAATATTAAAGTTCTAGCTACATTTTCATGCTCAGAGATCCAATGAAAGCTACAAAGAACTTTTTGAGCCCAATACAGAGACATTTTCAATCAATTTTTTCTCATATAAGATTAGTTTGAAGAAGTTCGTGTCTGGTTAAAGGTTTATGGATTGCACAAAGAGCTCATTTCTTTATTATCCCTAATCATCAATCCACGATATCTGGTTATTTTGCATAAAGTGTTAGGTCAGTGTCTTCATCAATTGCTGTTAAGCAGCTTGAAATCCTATAGTGGAATAACATTTAGAAACAAAATTAATCATCCTAACACAATGAAGCTGTCCAAATGCAAAACCACATATTTATCATTATTGATACTGAGACAAAGACCCGCTAATTTGTCAATGATTCAGATCATCACAATGATGATCGCTAGACTGTAAACACATTTGAAACTCTTCCTTTTGTGCTACAAAATTTAAGCCAATACAATAGTTCAGAGATACACTTCAAAAATATTTCAAATCTGAAATGTCCTGGCAGTGTGTGGAAAAAAGTAGCCATTTAGATGGATAGCAGGCCACATCATGAGAAAGAGATGCAATTTCCTTTTGAGCATACAAGATAAATCAGCACCAGCAACGTACACAGGTTGTATATGGAGTTGGAACTTATTTTTATTATTTGAAAAATAAAAATCAGTGCTGTAATGAAACAGTGTCGATATAAATATAAATAATACTGCAATAATTCAGAAATCTGGCTAAGTTCCCTTTATGGGCAGTGGAAATTTATTGGAAAGAAATTGGACTAAGCAGATTTGTGTCAACCTTTTTTTTTTGTTTTGGGTTTGAAGAAAACCACCTGAGACAGCAAGGGGTTTGGCAGACCCCAACCAGTTTTACTAGAAAACAAAGGTGCCTTAATGCCTTACCTCAAAAAACTGCACTAAGAAGTAATTCGAAATGCAAAGCAACTTACACATACCTGAAGTGCACGGATAAAAGGTAAGAGAGAACAGGATGGCAGGAATATCTCAAATGCCTTCAGCAATGGAAGGAACAGGTGTTGTTCACACAGAACAGCGACCATTCTCAAAAGGGAATTAACTACTTCATCAGAATTAGATGACACGGTTACATCTTCATCAATTTTTTGTCCCCTTTCCTCTTCAGGCATGATTTCTTCAAACTTTGCACCGCCAGAAGTGGTAGATACATCAAAAGCTGTCAAAGACAATGAATTTTCCAACATGGGCTCAATAAGCCGTCTCCTTTTCTGACTTTTCCTGTTATAGTGAAATGTATGGGCTCTAGCAGCCACTGGCAGGGAATTAGTAGCCTCAACAGCTGCTCCAACGTTATTTGCAATCTGGGAAGCAATGTCATTAACTTTGATGGCAGAAGTCTCCCTGATTTAGAAAGCATACTAAATCAAATTCATATCCAAGTACACATGGAAAAATATCATTGGGAAGATTCATGATAAATCCTGAGAATACAAACTCTGTGCAGAAATTGGCATAATATAGTAATGGAAGCTTAAAGACAGTGTAGCAAGTGATATTTATATCAGGAAATGCATGTGTGAGCAAGTCTGTTTTATATACAGTAAAGAAGAGAGAGATAAATGCCACCTTGCTGCAGTTATTTCCAGCCAAATGGCCAGACATGACAAGGGAGATACATCTGGAAAACATGCTGCGATCATAGCCAAAATTGACCAGCTCAAGTTTTTGGCCTTCAAGAGAAGAGCTTCACCTGGATTATTAAGTTTCTCACATTCTGCTATTATACCAAAGAGTTCAACAGATGCATAAAGGTTTTCATCTGATATGAAAACTTCAAACTGTTGCCCAGCAATATCTGAATTTGGTGAATGAAAAACTCTTTTTCGTGATTGCATGCTTTTCAAAACTGTTAATATATGAATTTTCAGGCGTGGATCACTAAATTCCTTTGATGCCTGGAAATAGCAGATATCAAAAGTATTAGAGCAAATCATAAGATGTTACTAAATAGAACTGTAAACAGTTAAAAGGGACTTGAGGCATACAACTTGTATGACTGTTTCAAGAGGGTATCCTCCAACTTGAGCTTCTGATAGAAACCCAACCTGGCAGCAAAATACTTGAGATGTGACATCCGATGGAAAATAGATATTGATGTAAAACTAAGGCTATGACCACAAACTAGAGCATACCCAGTCATTATCTCTAGCTAAGCAAGCAAGATATTTGGTGCTTAAGGGCATCTGGTGCATCTGACAGAAAACCGTGACTAGATTCCACTTCTCGCTTGCAGCTTTCTGTTGAGACCTCAACTCAGTTCCATCACCACTACCAGTTACTAACCACGAACCACACGTCATCCCACCACCAAAAACTGGAAGACTTGCTTTTTCCAAATGTTGCAGGACCATCATGAGAGCTCTTGTTGGCAATTTTCCAGTGACATTGTTCTGGAGGTCTCTTTGCTTTACACAAATGGAAGATTCATTGCGAAGATAATCATCTGCCAATGCCCGAGCAAGAGATTCTGTTACATCTCCTTCAATAGATTTTGTATGTACAGCGGAACCCTTGGGCGAAAGTTCCACTGTTTGATTTCCATGATCACCAGATTTATAGAAAGAAGATATCCTTCTTAAAGCACCAACGTCAATTTGGAGGATGCTGGCAGACAAACCGCATAACTCCAAAAGAAGAGCACAAGAAGCCACTAACACTGAATCCTCAAAATGCAAAATGGCGAGGGGCACAACCTATACATACAAGTCGCAAACTCTATCATGAGTCAATAAGTGTTGCGCTACATGTAATTAGTTTTGTTATCTGAATATTACATATGCTTATGCGAGGATAATAAAATAGCTGAACCAATTGATCACACCCAAGTACTAATTCATCTGGCTTTTGTCCTTGCTTATGAAAATGGGTACCACAGAGCTGTGAGTTCGCACTTGGGCTTACACTTAAAAGCCAACTAACATCAATCCTGTGGTCGTGAAGTAGGGAGACTTCAGGTTCTAAAAATGAATGGGCCCTTGAAAGGAATGCCAGAAAAGTTTGCCCATACACGGCAAAATCCAGCACCTTATTCAAACTACCATACTATTTTTAGTAACATGAAGAACTATTAGAATAGCCCTGCCAAACTTGCATGTATTCTATTCCTATGGCATGAAGGAAAAACATGTTATGCATCTCAACATTGAAGGCATATGATATACTTGAAGTCCAATAATTTAAATGATGTCATGAGACCTACAATCTCCTTGACTCCTTAAACACTTTTATTCGATAACATTGTCAAACTTCAAGAACTGCCTTGATGACAAACTACTTACTACTTGTCAGGACAGCGGAAGAGTGAACTTCAAGATATAGGCATTAACCAAACAAAGGATAAAAAAATGTCCACTTAAAAATGCAATCACTTTTTTACATAAACAAAACAAACCACAAGTGATCCACACCGTTGAAAGAAGAGATTCCTCATTCTGAGATATAGGTGCAAGAAGTGCATGTAAATCTGACTGCACATTTGTTTGCCCAGGTACTGAGGTTCCAGAGGACCCTCTTTTTTCTGTATTCAGTTTTTGAACTCTCAAAGCAAGGAGATGATTAAAAGCAGCCAGTGCACGCCCACGATGCAAATGGTGCTCGAGACCAAGACCAGCTTCCTAATGCCAAGAGAAGCAACTAAGATGAGAAAAAATCCAAGAAACTTAAAAAAAAAAAAGGCAATTGGGGATCAGTTAACATTTGTAAACTGAAATAGAAGCTACTGAAAAGATTTCACAACATTTTCAAATTGCACTAGATATTTCATACAAGTTACAATTCTGATAAAAACATATTGAGAACCAAAGAAAAAAAAAATGTTTCCCTTTTTTCTTTTTTTTTTTTGTCCTTACGGAATTCTTGTTAGTGGCATCCAATATTCAACCAGCTAAGTATGTAGGTTTTGGACAATCTCTTGACTAATTTCCCCTTTCCCCTGATTTAGAAGGAATTTCAAATGAAAGACAAAGGACTAGTAACTTTGTGACAGGTAACCAACAACATCCCCTTTTCTGATCATGTAATATGAAAAGCTTATAGGAGAGTTTCACTGTTCAGGGCTGGAAAGTTAGAAGGGAAATGGCAATTGGCTATCAGGGGACTTAGGTATTGTCAGTACCTATTGCTCGAGTAACACTGCAGACACATACATTAAAACAACACTTGTATGAACTAATACTACAAAGTTCCTTGAGCCTGTATTGTTAACTGCCCGGCCAAATGACATTTTTAAATTTCCCCAACTTCCGATTCCTGCCACACAATTTCGAAATGGTGGGATCTCCAACATGAATTGCCTACGCAATTGTTCTGGAAGGCAATTGCTGAGGCCCTCAATCCCAGAAATTAGGACCTCCCCTATATGGTAACAGTCAGGATAACCAATGTGCAATTCAGAATTTAGAAAGTAAAAAAGGTTAGATTTATTAATTGACCAGAAACCAAAACTTTATTGATCTAAGCAGAAACTCTTTGCAAGTCAAAATTGGAAACTCAAAAGCACAAGAACATTATATACAATAAAACAGAAAATGAAGAGCTCGCCTCGCCTCACCTCCGAGGAAGAAGCACAAAGTTGTTCTTCAATCACCACATCCTCTAAGCTCTTTCCTTCAGTCTTTTGCAGAAATCCTTCAGAGGTCCAAAGCCAGATCAATTTTCGAACAGGGACGTCTTCATCTTCCGGGAATGCTCCGAAGTAAAGAAGGCATGGCTTCAGATGACCTGGTAAATTACTGTAACTCAACTCCAGTGTCCTCTTGCATTGTTCAATCTCAACAATACTTAAAGAACTTAGAGTTTTTGCAACTTCTTTCCAGCAATCTTGCTCAGTAGTTACAAGAATTCCAGCAACAAGGACAATCGTGAGAGGTAGTCCCTTACAGTTTTTTTGCAATTTGGAATCCAACTTCAGTTAGTGTTGGAGGACAACCTTCTTTGCCAAATAGCTTATTTTGCAGCAATGCCCAACTCTCTTTGTCAGCAAGTTGGCGAAGATGGTAAGGTTCACTATCATGTTTCAATTGCAATGCCAGGTATGTGAAGAATGCATTGGCGAAAGGGAAAGCTGTGAATTGATGCAAAAGCTAAACTATTCCAATGAGGAGATATGTGTTTGTTTTGTTCGGGGCAAGGAACCTCCAAAATCAATTTTAGAAGCATCAGGGAATGTTTTGGATCCCAGTCGAAGAACCTCTAAGCGCTCCCGGAAGTCGACATCTACAAACTCTAAGAAGTTGAGTGTTTCAGGGTCCACGACAGTCTACCAGCTAAAGATGATGATATGGGAATCATTTGGGGTATGCCATGTAGCAAAATCTTAATTTCTTATACTCCTTTATATTTTTCTATGCTCTCACCTGTATGTTCCTGTTTCAGAAAGTTGGCATACTGCAGAATCTAATGCTTATTAAGGTTCCTGGATATTTTTTTCTGTTACTTGTGTGTTTCTTTTTCACAGAGTGGAGAGTACATTGGTTCTTGGATGTGTTTAATTTCTTGGAGATATAGGTATTTGAACCATGATGGACATTAGGCCCTTTGATTGAGTAATCTATAGGCCCTTTGATTGGTAAAATCTAAATAGTGAAATTTATGTGCTGAAAGAATTCTGCATTGTGATCTCGAGTCCTTCTGAAGGTTGTTCACATTTAGAATCTAATTCAGGAATCTAGGAATAACTGACGTATTCTGACAATGATTGTGATTATTATGACCTTTTAATTTGTGATATTACTCTTTGAAAAGAGTAAACTGAAGGGTGGGATTGCATTTTCTATTTCTTATCCCTGCCTTGAAAAAACAAAAGTTGTTTGCTTTGATATAAGATGCTGTAGCTCACTGAAATCCCATCCTAAGTTGTCTTCTCATCTTGTTTTCCACCATTTTGAATATATAGGGAGAGGAATTTTGTTTTGGTGCACCAAGGAAGTAAAATACATATGGATGAAAAGAATTAAGATAACCATAGGATCATTGAAACTGCACAATTGGGTCAGGATCATGCCTACCTATTTATCTAATCATTAATGCAATCTCACAAGCGAGTGGTGCAGCTAGCAGTAGAGAGCTATATATGCAAAAGTGATCATGCTTATTTCCCCAAAATGGTTTACCACATTTTTAGATACGTGGTTTCTCAAGTTGTTCCATTTACTTTGCCATTCTCGCATCTTGCAACGTTACCTCCTTTAGTGTCACAAAGTAAAAACCATTTCTAACAGTTTAGTAGAACCAGTTTTATAGTCCATAGAAGTTATTATTTTTGCTATCATCAGTTAAGGTCTGTTGCTGGTAAAGGTAAATCAAACTGTCAGCTGATATCAATGATATTATTTTAGTTATTTCCTTTATTATGAGCCACCCATGCAATTTTTGGTAGCTTTTATGGATAGATTTTTATGTGTAAACCTGGTGATAGACACGCATATATTGCAGAACTTCTTTCTGACATAATTTTGTATTAACTGCTTTTCCGCCTTTTTTTCTGTGTGTGTGGGTGTGTGTGTGTGAGAGAGAGAGAGTCCAAGTCTTCATCTCATGCATGTTTTAGCTGTCCAAACAATAGTCTTGCTTTTTCTCTATTGTCTTTTTGAGGCTATGCTTTGTTATCTTCTGGGAAAAAATAAATGTTATCCTCTGGAAGTCTGGCTGAATTTTTATTTGAAAATTTTAATTACTTTTGAGGGACATTTTTGTTCCTCGAACTCAATGATGTATGATGTAAAAGCAACTACGAGACCTATTCCTACTTATCTTACAACTCGCCCCTAATTCCCATCTTTACTTTTTGTTAACTGATGCCATTGCTTTTAATTTTTTGTAACCAAGTTAATATCTGCAGATAGTTAAAGAGAATCAGATACTTCATAAAGGTTCCAGAACAATTGAGGGGGAGTCTGCATGTCTTGCTGACTTGAATATTTTTCCTGGAGACATTCTGTGGGTAACAGATTCGGAAATCCATGAGAATCGTGATATTGCAGGTAATTTCTATGACCCTTGGATGAATTCTTACAAGAACTCACTACACTCCAGCCCCAGCTGGAAGAAGGATTTATAGGACTGGGCATGTTTCCAGCCCATTTTCTTTATTTCATTTTTTTATCCTTCTGGTAATTATTTTCTGGAAGCAATTTCCAGTTTCATCCATAAAAACTTTGATGACCAGCTACTACCAGTCCAGTAATCTTTTTTCTTTTTGTTTCTTTTTTTTCATTTTCTTATTTTCTCTCTTCTCCTTCCTTTTTTGCTTTCACCTAAATCCGACCTCTAATTGGTTACTTATCCCCTCCAGCCAGTGTTGTTGCCACAGGCAATATATTTGGCCGTCTTTTCTGGAATGTGTACATTATTCAACTTCTTTTGCAAAGAAGATTTAGCTTCAGCATTGAAGTCGTATTTTTAACGTCATTGCATTGGAGTCAGCAGTGTTTCCGGAACTGATACTGAAATTTCCGAATTATTTATACGATAATATCTCACATTTTAGTGAACCTCAATAAGATTTCTAATTGACCAGAAAAGTAAAATGTGAACCGAAATTCCATTACTGAGTTGGAGTTGTGCTCAAACTCTATGAAGATAATAACAATTTGTATTCAGTCAATTTATTTGGTTGTCACTTAGATACTAAAGTTTATGGTCTGCTTTTGGTCTCTTGAAGTTAGCTGATTCTAGTTTGTTTAGCTAAAAGTTATTATTTGTTTGCTTATTGACTTCTGCTTGGAGCTTAAAGTTGAAAAAGTTGATAGAGGGGGAGCTGATTTCAAAAATCTCTCAAGTTTTCTGAACTTTTCAGCAAAAATATGCTTTAAAATTTTAATACAGCTTTTTAACTATTTGAATTCTTAACCAGCTTTAATTTATCCCAAGCAAATGAGAAAAGGCCCATTGTGATCAAAAGGTTTCCTCTACATTGATTTATCCTCATGTCTGGTGTGCTGCCTTGACTTCCTACCATGTTACCAGTACAGCTACTTGGTCATCTTCATCTGCTTTAAGACTTTGGAATACTAAATTTCAGATTTTTACTGAAATACTGGAATACTTTTTTTTTTTTGGAATGTCAATTTCTACAACTACAAGAATACTCTATCCAATTCTTCTGGAGTTGCAAAAATTTTATGTTGCTAACTAGTCGAACTGCAGCAGATTGAATATAGTTTTCCACTTGTGTAAATCTATAATCAATACAAATTATAATGCACCCCAGCACTAACAGTACACTTGGTATTTGTATCAAGGAGGTTGTTAGCAGGCATTTTATCTTTTTTTACTTTTTTCTTCTTTCACTGGGGTGGAATTTTGCTGTGCTTTCCTAAATTGTGCTGTGTTTTGAGGTAATGATCATATTTTTGTGGCCAAGCGATGCAGCCATTAGCTTAGAATCCATTAACCTTTCCTGCATTCTGTAACTTTCTCTACAGATGAGCTTTCTGACGAGAAGATGGACGTTGAAAAACTTGAAGAAGGTTTCCGTGGAACACTTCTTGCATCAAACATCTCTCCACAGGCGGTCTCAGAAGGGTGCTTTAACTGATGGTCACCACATAAGAAGTGTGGCTTTATTGAATTTTGGATTCAGGAGAGATCTTATTGGAGGTTCAGCAAGTCCTTTTGAGGTCAGAATCTGTGCCTCTAACATTTTCATTGTTCTCTTTGTTTGCTAGTCTTGTATATGTATCTTTTGCTCATGTCTCTTTTGTTATCAGAAATAGGATAAATGCACGAGAAAAGTTAAAATGGTAGGAAATGTGATTATTCTACAGAGAAACGTGTTAAGTGGGAGCGAGGGAGCAAGGGAGGTGAAGCTATTGATAAAAAATTCAGTTGTATTCTGCTTATCTGTTTTCTAGGATTTCCTTGTATGCAGCTATTTTTATAAGCAGTCAGTTGCTATTCTTCAATCCTGCTCAATTAGTATTGGACAATACTTTTCTACCAAGTTTCTTTTTACGTTATCCACATTTTGGCTCGGGTGTATAGGTGGGGGTTTATGAGGTTTGGCACTTAAGCAATATCAGCTTCAATATTTGTGAAAGAGTTCCCTATAGGTGATTCTACTGGAACAACACAGAACAAAGGTAATTGGTTGTATTGTTCTTCATATTTGGGCAACTTCTTTAGGGTTAAGGCCTGATGCAGTTCAATGATCTGATATGGTAGAACTGAGTTATTCAATTTAGTTAGTAGTATTAGCCAGAACAAGGGGAAAATGTTGGGCATCATAGAAAGCATTCGTTTTTAAGTGTCCTTAGACTGCTTTATTGCATGCTTATTTTGCATTTTTTTTTTTTTCATAAATGAAGAGAGAGAGTTTTTGTAGAATGGCAGCCTATGTGTGTGTGAATTTTGGAGAAAGAAGTATATGGAGAAGATTTTTCTTATATTCTTATTAGGTAATTTGTCTTTGTTAGTAGTAGGCTACTAAGTGAAGGCTCTCACTTTAGTTGCTGGTGAATTTGCAGATCTTCTGTACAAAGTGTACATTTTGGTGCTGGTGACGTTGCATTGTTCTACAAGATCAGCTGCAGCACGTCATGCTGTCATCTTCTATAGTTGCTTATTCTGTTGTGTATTATACCTACTACCCATTGGCATTCTTAGCCGAATTTTGTTCATCTAGTGGTAATGAAGGCTAGGCTCTGCTTTGGGACAGGTCTGTACATTGTTACCCTTCTTGGCTTTAATGATCGAGATCTTATGTGCATCACGAATGCCTATTAAGTATGATATATATGAGAAGTGTGCATCATTTTGCTAGTTGCTGCAGTAGGTAACTCGCAGTTGTAAATCAAATATATATACCATACTTTTGCCTAGTTCTTAGTGCAATGAAACTCTTTGAAAGATGTGAATCATTGCAGCTCCATCTGTTATAAACCGTTTTGTCTTGGAGAAAAGTATTAGGGGTGCTTGATTAGGATTGTATATTCCATTATGAGTATTGATTTTGGTCAATTGCATATATATGTTTGATATGAAAGTGGAATAAATTTCATTCTATCAAGGATAGGTTGCAAGATCTTTCATTCTGGTTAAATGATTCTCATAATGATCTACGGAGCAAGAGATGTGTGTTATTTAACTTTGATACTCATTCTTGCCTTTCATGCCCATACACCAAACAACCCCATTCTACCAGTGGTTTAACACTTTTTCGACTGTTGTTCCAAATCTTCTCCGTATTGGTACGTACTGGTTAACGTAGGGAAATTACTAAATGCATATTCACTATTTCTAGGCTCCGCCAACTATTTTGAACAATATATTGAACAACATGTGTGTGTGTGTGTGTAGATTGTAGCTTGTGCACGCCAGTACTTGGTTGAATCAGACTGAGTTCATTCAAGCATAACCATTTATTCCTCTTGAAATTTTGATTGGAAGCTAATTTCAGTTAATTGCTCCGTTTGTTTTTTAATATAGTGTAAGTGGGAGGGGGCTCGAACCTGGATCCTTCATTTGCAAGCTATCCCTCTTCCTAGTTAATTGCTCCTTGATTACCCTTAGGACAGCAGGCGACGGATACGGTGTGGATGTCCAGAGTAGAGGTAAAACGAAAAAGAGAAATTGAAGTGGAGACAAAATAATGATGAGAATTCTGCTAATCCAAAGTGATCTCTCCGGAAGGAAATGTTTGGGCAAAATTGTTGCTGTTTTAAGGATACGAAGTTATCAGTACACCAATACAGTACAGATTGAGCTGGTGCTTAAATAATCCATAAACATAACTTGAATTTGAATTCAAGAAACATAGGGTGATCATCAGATTTCCAGAGTAATTATTATTTTCTCCATGTCATCTTTTTAAAGTCAAAGTTTTGATGTTTCTTAACGTTTTGAGATTTTATCGCTCGAAGCCATGGAAGTTATTTTGCATATTCTTTTCATCTTGTATGTTCCAATGCCTCATAATCCCCTCCTCATCGAGGAAAGGCTGGAAGTGCCTTATTTACCACATCATGAACTTGAGTTTCCGATTCTACCCAGAAACAAACAAGTATGAAACGGCAAACGGGCATAAAACTAGGATGAAATACAGCAAATTCCTAAAACAACATTATTGCTATCCTAAGCAAACATCAACACCAGATTTCAAAGCGAATAGTATGAGCCATACGATTAACTTTATCCATGGAAGAGAGGAACAATAAAGGGCGGTTATAAAATGGGCATCTTCCTTTTTATTCTTTATCATTTAATTCACGTAATCATATTTTAAGTTTTTATTTTACTACCAGATATCCATTGGGCATGCGTTAACACATCTAAAATTCACTTAACTTACTGTGTATGTGTATTTACTAACAATTATTACCTTCCCTCACATTTATATATTTTTCTTATTTAATTTTACCTACACTTCTTTATATATATATTTACTTTTCCTATTTAATCTTATATTACCAAAAATATGACACCTGAAATATATTTTAGCGGATACCCATTAGACAAACCCTTTAATTTTTATATCTTTCTGTTCCACTTTGCCAACCTGTTTTTCAAAATTGCAGCACTTGGCCACCTAAAATTTTCAAACTGATTCAAATCTTCTCCATCTCATTGGTCTTCAATCAACTAAATGGACATGAACTGGTATCTATTACCCAAATTATCCCTGTAGCTAAGGTTATTTAACCTAACATTCCATTTGTTTTTTCATTAATGATCAGCCGTTGAAAAGCATGACAACTTGGTTGCACTATCTTGGAGGCTTGTGATTAATTTCAACAATTCTACAGTGTTGACAGGAGGAGCAAGTGCTCTTGGTTTTGCTTCTAGATCTTCAGTGAAAAAAAGGGATACTTGGATGTTAATCAAAGTGGTATTGTTCTACCACCAATTGTGATAGTATTAAAGATCCGTTGAATTAATTGACAAATAGCTAACATGTTATTGTAAATTTGACCTAGGTTACATATTAATAGGACTAAATGTCGCAATTGAAAGAAGAAGAGGTTTCCCTCAAAAAAAAAAAGGAAATCTTTAGGAGGATTTTATCGTATTTTACCCTTAAAAGTTAAAATTAACCTTATGCGCACACTTCCAAAATTGTACCACACAGAAATTTCACCATTTGGAGGGAATGGAAAGGTGCTAGAAACGTAGCATATATGTAAAACGCAAACAATTAATTAAAAAGAATCCAATATTTTTGGATTTTGCAACTAGTATTTATTCTGTGCATTAGCACAGAATAGTTGATTAACAATATTTCCTGTCAATTATGAATTGACGAAACGTATGAATAATTGATTAACAATATCCTTGTATATTATTCTTATTTATATTAGAAAATTATTGTATTCCAAACATTTTAATAGTTAAAAACTTTTATATGTATTTTAATATAATATGATAATATTAATTAAATACAACAATGTATAAGAAAATAGCAAGTATTCTTTAAGATAAAGGTTAAACTTTAGAATGTTTACACACCTACCTCTACTCATTTCAGTTAAAGAAAAAAATGCAAGCAATTTATTTATTCATGAAAGATTTATTAGTTTCTAACAAATTCAATGAATTTACTGATGTAATAACTAAACTCACACTAAACAAAGTTACCATATACGGATAAAAAGAATAATTCAAATTTATTAAAAGAGATACAAGTTGGTAGAAGAGAGAGAGAAATTATGAGCAAAATAGATTGGAGAAGAGTTGTGTGTGAAAATGATAAAAACCTAAGTATCCATTAACCTATTAATTCTCTTCAAGTAGGCAGGTCACTTAGAAGAGGGAAAATGATGAAATAAAATAAAAAATTTCATAACATAAATATATGTATGTATGTATGTGTGTGTGTGTCTGTGTGTTTAGATTAGCTGCCCATATTTGGAATCTAACAGCGTTGACCTCATCTAAGCTTCAAATTGTTCTCACCCCAATTAGAAGTATATTTTTTTGCACATCCCATATAATCATGCCTCCACAAAGAGGATTTTTTACTTATACTTTTAGGGATTTTTTGTGCACCCATTAATATGGATAAGAAATAACTAGCTTAATGAATGCATTAATTATTTCATTTTTTGAAGAGTTATTTTTAAAGGATTCACATGTTAAATAGCATACTTAACCTTTTCCTCTAAAAGCAAATTTATCAAACCAAGCACATATAATTTGTTTTATTAGGAGAATTAGAATATCATATATGATTTACTTGCTTTGTTGATTTTTTTAATTTTTTTTTTGATTTTTTTTACAGGTCTTAAAAATTTATAATTCTGTGTTGTCTTCTAAATAAATTGTATTTTTTTCTTTTAATTTGTCATTTTATGGGGATAAAAAGTTCCAAAGTCATAATGGTCTTCTTATTTATTTATTGTAAGCCATAATGGCCTTGTTTTGGTTTGGTTTAGAATCTAGGAACCTATCATCTCTTTATTGTTTAAAAAAATAAAAGTGCAACAATAAGTCACTTTAGGAACCTTGACAGTATTATGCATCTTTTAGACCCAAAAAAAATAGCACAAAGTTAACTACACTTTTGTTCTCAGTTTTACGAAAAAGAATTATTAGATTTTCAAAAAGGTAACTAAACAATGAAAAAAAAAAGAAAAAGATGAACTTGAAGCACGAACAGCCACATCAAACTTAATTTCAAAACATCTTTGTTGATTTATTTGAAATGTATATTTTTTGTTTGTAAAATTTTTTTCTTACCGGAAGTTTTCTAAAATTGAAGACATCACCTCTTAAATGCTAAAATTCTTCAATTATGATAATTTTATCCATATTAACAAGTGCCAATTGGGCACGGATTAGCCGGACCGATTTTATTATATTTTGGTGTTAGATTAGCAATATTGCGCCCTGTGAATGATCATTTATTTGCAGCTCCTAAATTATCATTGGTAGAAATTTAATATTCTTACTATGTGTAATAATTTCGTATCACATTATATAAGTCCGTTTGAAATCAGCATATTTTGGTAGCCATCTTCACTAATTTATTCGTTTAGGGGCACTAAAGTATTCTTCATCGAAAAAAGTGCTAGCAAAATTTGTAAGTGTTAACTAATTTGGTATCTTAAGCTATTTAAGTATAATAATTTGGGAGATCGTTAGATTGGATAGCAAGATAGGAAGAATTATAAGTATGAGATCTTGAATTCAAAATCTCTTACTTATAAAAAAAAAAGGTATAAAATTGTTAATTAATAATTTAGGGGCAAACAACAAACCACTAATAGTTTATACATAATGCAATTAACCTTTGGTGTGTATGAGAGGTTCATTGAGTGAAAACTTTACATGCTTTTATCCCCTATTAACCATTCGTTTATTCTAAATTTCACGAATGTCACCATTAGTTTTGTAATCCTTGCATATTCAACATGTGTATTAAATTATTCAATCATAGGACTTTATATTATTATGTCAATATTATCATTAAGAAATTGGTTTTGCATATCATTAATAAAAGCATCATCTTTAATTTTTATTGTGAGGACAAAAATTATTTTATAGTTTTTGTTTTAAATATGCATGAATATAAATTGATGTTTATTTTAATACTTGTGTTTTAGAATACAAATTTAATATCTTGTTATTTCAATCATATTAAAAAATCATCATCGCTGCCTGATTGAATTATTGCAAAAAGGGTATAGTGTTTATAAATAAAAAAAAAGTACAGTGGATTGATCGCTAATTGTATAAATAATCAACCCATCAAAAAGCCCCTCCAGAAAGCCAAGAATTCAAATGTCGGCTAAGCCGAGATGAGCTGGACCGCAAAGCATTTGGATTGGTCATTTTTTTAAAGACAACCACAAAAAATATCAAAAACAATCTCAAAAACATAAAAAATAGCATAAAAACAACCTTATCTACAGTAAAAGTTTTTCACCTACATTGCTACGGTAAAATATTTTAAAAACACCATAAA